ACTTTAGATTTACTCAACTTGGGTTTAGTAAATTCAACACATTTTTAGAGTGCATAAACAAAGTAAAACTATATTAATAAAAGTCAAATTTTTATGATTTGAATGTAACAAAATAAAAGTTACAATAAAAAAAACACTTGGTAAAATTAGAACTTCTCCAAAAACCTATAGTACTGTAATGAAGTAAATGTACTTGGTTATACATATCCATATTTCTGAGCTCAATGTTGGCTCGTATTATAAACACCTGATGGTCTACAGGTTTGGGCCAAACAACAGCTTGTGTTACTTATTCAGGTAAAACACCTGTTTGTAAAATATCTGTGCAAAAAATAAAAACAGTTGTCAGGACCATTTTTAAAATGTGCTTTATTAACTTTTTTTTAATGGGAACAAACATTTTTGTCAGTAAATTGCCATTTTCTCCAAACAGCAACAAATAATACTGTTTCAATATGAGCAGACTCGTACCGAGGTTTCGTGTTCATCTGGAGTATTTTCTGGTTCCTGAACCAAACGGGTTAGTTTTTTTTAAGCCTTGCGGGTCTTTTCTGTCCTCCCTTTTAATAAYCTGCTGTTATGGTAAGGTGCGCAGCGTGGATGGAAAATATGTGGAAAAGCAGCTAAAGTCCAAACAAAATAAAATAAAATTTAATAAAATTTAAAAATAGCCTGAAAGAACTCAATTGAAATTAGCTATTTACCCAAAAACAAGCATAAAATTCTGTGAAACATACAAGAAATGTTGTGTTGTGGTGACAACAGCCTGCAGATCACTGTTTGTGTTCAGACAACAAAAAAAGATGATGTCATTGCTATGATCCGTACCTGAGCTCTACCCGTCATGCTGCATCAGATGCAGGTTGTTTAGTAACAAACAGTTTTTTTTAATGCTGTTATCAGTAAAAAGGCTCAAGTACGATGGCAACAGAATTCRTCCTAATTGATGCGTAAAGCCACAGGTAACCTCCCAACAGTGTTAAAAAACATTTTTATTATGTTTATATGAAACAATGTAACCTACTGACAAAGCCTCGTAAAACCTACAACACAAAAAAAGTGCAGTTTGTAGAGGTGAAATGTTTTCACCTGGATAACAGAAAACAGTGTTGGTTTCTCTGTGGCSTTCTTCAGACTTGTCCTTTAATGTGAAGATGGTTGCATTAAATACAGGTCTTAGCGATTAATTAATTTAATCGTGAAATAGTGTCACCACACCACTAGGTGGAGCTCTACGGAGTTTAAAAGTAGACAAATTCACTGTGTAAAAACATAATTTTATTGCATTTTTAATGGATGATTTTGCAGCGACCCAGTTGTACTGGAAAGTGGGAATTTCCCAATTGCAAGTCGTAAATTTAAATAAGAACTCCCCCTCGAGTGGGAATTCCCTGTTGGAAAGTGGGAGCAGCTTATACTTTTACTTTTACTAGTATTTCTGTATTACTTATTTTTCCATTATAAATCGTACACGTCATACTTTTCAGTGTTAAAGTGCTGTTTCTACACATGAAATACCACATAGAGCTCAGTTAATGTTTGTTAGCGATGCTCAGGAATGTGGTGTTTTAGTCAAAATTAATTACAACCAAAACGCTCACGTGACCCTCGGTGAAAATGAGTATGAGAGCTTGTTGCCAACAGTTGACTTTTTCTATGGAGGACCGAAACTGACATGATTAAAAATAAAAGCAGAAATATATAAATGGCCCAGTAAATAAATAAATATATATGAAGGTCAATTTAATTATAACTCATGAGGTCAAGTTCTTTTTTTTTTTTGAATAATTGGTGCATTTTAAGTGCATTAATTTATTTATTGTGGCTTTTATATATATTTCTGCTTTTATTTTTAATTATGTCCGTTTTGGTCCTCCATATTTATGTGCACAAATTACAAAATAATAACATTTGAGGTGCAGATTTTGTGGCCAGGTGTGRAAGCTCTTGATCACGCAGGACAGAATTTAACGCCAGGTCTGAACGGGGCCTTCGGGTTTGAGTGGCGGCACAACGCAAAACCAAGGAAAATTAAATTAAAATGTTAATGTTTTAAAAAATAGCTTTCCAAATGCTTCTCGTGCCTCTTGTAAAATTATCTTATTATAAAAACAGCAAATAGTAGTGACACGATTCTGCTGGTGCTGCGAAATGTTTTCACTCTTGTTCCATAAATTGTGAATTCTTAACATCTTCAAACTACGACTGTAACGTTTAGCACAGGAGGAAATACATTTCACGCTCTGATAAAACACACACAAACAAMGTAAACACACAATTTCTTAGCTCCTAATGTGATTGAGAGCAACGCTACGTCGTTCAGCCCATTTCGACGTACTGCTGCCTTCGGAACCCGGCATCTCTTTTTCGCTAAAACTCATTCATGCCGCGCTAAACGACAGGCTGCTAGTTTTAGTGCCGAGTCTTCGTATCGTTTTCATGTTGCAGCTCCAGAGTCCGACAAAAAAAAAACTTGTGTCTTCTTTTCAAAATAAAAGGTTGTCCGTTTCAACCTCACATCCGAGGCAACTTTCGGCAGGCTCGCTCAGACGTCGTTTCTGCTGTTTCGGCTCGTTCGCCTCAAAAAAAAAAACTCAATCGGGACAAGACTTGAAAATCCGCCACATGAAGCCGACACTATGTTGTGTTGCGTTTGTTCGCCGCCACGATCGGCCGGGCGAACTCCACAAAGTCGTCGATGAGGACTGGCCACGCCCCTGCGGAGAGGACGAGAAGTAGAGTCAGAGATGCCGGAACAAAAACATTTACAGCTTTGGYACTTCAGTTTCTGTTCATCTTCATCGGCTCACCTTCCTCGTCATAATTCGACATGTCGTCTGCAATCATGTTGCCGAAGTCCAGGAGGAGGTTCCACGTGTCTTTGGGAATCGAGCGCTTGTGATGCTCCTGAACGCAGCACAGTTCACAGTTAACTGTAATGTTGACTTGTTCATAAACAGGTCATTCAAAAACAAAACCTTCAATACTGACCAGGAGGAAGCGGTTCCACAGATCCAGGAACTTGAATCGACTCGTGAGAACTAGATTCCAGTAAGCCACGGCCATCTCCAGGTCTGAAAATTTAAAACGACACAAAGAAGAATTTACATTTTCGGCAGAAATATGAAAAACAAACGACTTTACTGAAGATTCAATTGAGTTTTAACAGAGCTAAATGAAGCTTAATTGCTAGGTACAAAAAATAAAGAAAATGAAAGTTAAAGTGGAATATCGTTAGCTAAAAGTAGCAAAACACAGGATAAAAGCTGAAAGTGACAAACTAAATGCTAATTGTAGCAAATGCCTGGCTGAAAGCTAAAAGTAACAAAATGGTGGCTAGAGGCTAAACATAGTGAAAGGCTAGCTAAAAGCAGCAAAAGTGTGACTAAAAAAAACAAATGTAGCAAGAAAAATAGCTAATTTTAGCACAAGGTTAGCTAAAAGCTAAAGGTGAGAAACACCAACTAAATACCAAAAGCTGCAAAATGATAGGGAAATGTCAAAAGGCTAAACATTTAAGTAGCAAATGGGTAGCTAAAAGTAGCAGGACATTACCAAATACCTACAAATAGCAGGTGGCTAACTAAAAGCTAAAGGTAGCAAAAGTAAGTTATAATTAGCAATAGCATGGWAAAAAGTATCAAAAAGCAGCAAAAYGGTGACTAAAAACCAAAATAGCTAAATTTTAGCTTAATGTAGCACGAGGCTAGCTAAAAGCTAAAGTAAAAAAATTGTATCTAAAARCTTAAAATAGCAAATGGCTGCCTAAAAGTATCAAAATGAATAACTACAAGCTAAAAATGCCATTTAAGGGTAACTAAAAACTAAAAGCAGCAACTTATAGCAACRATAGCTAAATTTATCAAAAGGCTAAACATTGAAGTAGCAAATTGGTGGCTAAAATCTGAAAGTAGCAGAACATCAGCTAAAACCTAAAAATAGCTGARGACTACCTAAAAAAAACAGGTGAAAAGTAKCAAAATGCTACTTAAAAGTAACAMAAGGCTATTTAAAAGYCAAAGGTAGCTAAACTTTATCTTAATCACAAAAGTATCAAAATGCAAGCTAAAGTGAAAAGTAGCAATAGGCTAGCTATAAAAGGCAAAAGGGTRATTAAAAACCAAAAGTAGCYAAATGATAGCTAATGTAGCACAAAGCTAACTATAAGTTAAAGTAGAAAATGGGTAGCTAAAAGTAGCAAAGTGTTGACTAGAAGTAGCAGACGGCTAGCTAAAATTAAAAGCRGCAGTATATTTGCTAAAACCTAAAAATAGCTGAAGGCTAACTAAAATAAAAATAAAAAGGTTTGTTATAATTAGCAAAGGTCTGGTGAAAGTAGCACAATGCTAAGRYAAAAGTAACAAAAGGCTAACTAAAAGCTAAAGCYAGCTAAACTTTACCTTAAACAGAAAAATCAAAATGTTAACTAAAAGCTAAAAAGTAGGTTCAAAGACAAAGTAGAGCCATAGTTTTAAAATAAATTAGTTTTAAAACATAATATTTGTATCTTTTTGAGACTTTCATGTGTTTCATCAACACGTTCGGCTCACCTAAACCTTTCTGACCCGGGTTCTTGGCGAATCTGAAGGTGAACTGGTAAAAGTCTTTAAACTTTGAGGCATCTTTCAGCTCCTGTTCCAGCCTGGGGAGGACGGCCTTCAGTTTTTCAGGACTGTCGCAGCTGAAAGTCAAGAAGGAAACAATAAATACTGTGAAATAATAATTTACCATAAAAAGCAGTCAATCAGGAGTTTTACCCCAGCTCCGTCATGCCGTCGAGGAACTCCTTCCTGCTGAACTCGCACTGCGTGGCCGCYCTGAACTTCCAGGCCACCACCAGCACGCTGATGCTGGCCGGGTCYAGAGTCAGGTCATCGCAGAACTGCTGGATCCCATCGATGCCGATTTTACTCTCGTCGTGAGGGTCTGCCAAGAAAACAGAAAAAAAAGAAAGATTTAAATGCAGAGTTTCTGTTTTTCTGCAGTTCAATTACTCCTGCATACTCTGAGCAATTTTAGCTGTTCCTGTATCAAAATGTTTTAGCTCATTCAGGAAACGGGCGATACTTTTGGTCTTCATAACTTTTATACTTTTCAAAATATTTAACTTTACTTACAAGTATTTTCCCAATAAAAATACACAGTCTCTTCATTTTGTTCAGAAAACATGGTTCTCATTTAAATCTGCTTCAGCTGCTGGCTCTGTTGTGTTGTTAGCTAATCTTTAGCTACTGTTCTGCTACATTTAGCTTTTAACTAACCTTTTGCTTGTTGGAAGTTTATTATAGCATTTAGCTGTGTTTGGCTTCTGGTCTTTTGTTATTTTAAGCTAGCATTTTCCTACTTGCAGCCAGCCTTTTGCTAAGTTTAGCTAACCTTTAGCTAATTTTAACTTTTAGTTAGCGGTTTGTTATATTTAGGTAGGGTTTTGTTTTTGGCTACATTTAGTTAGTCTTGTTAGTTTTAATTTCTAGCTAACATTTAGCTATGA